CTGCTGTAGCTGAACCCAGGACACCAGGTTAATCCAGTTACTGATGAAGCAGTCTGAAGGGCACACAGACTGTTTAGCTACTTTGAACTCAGTTGGACACAGACATCTCTATCAATCGTAATATATTGCATCTGCAGTTTGCTGAAGCCACTCTGAATTTCTCTCTTCTCATTTTGTTGAGCACTGACAATGTTCCTGGCACAGCTGTCAGTTTGTTCTGTGCTCTTGTGTAACCATGCTGGACCAGAGTTGTGAACAGGTCTATTAGCTGGCCTGGGGCCATCCTGATGAGACTGTCATCAAAACATTGTCCAGAATCTTCTAGTGCAACCCTGCTAGTCAGAGCAAAGACTGTCACCACAGTGGATCACAACTACATCTTTGTCTAGCAGAGATTTCACAACCTCTCTGGTGAACCTGTTCCAGTGCTCAGCTACCAATTTGGTGACTTTTTTCATGAACCTCCCAAAGCTCAATTGTCTGTTGTGACATCGCCTGGCCCTGATACCCTTGAGTTTGACTTTCAGATAGCTGTAGGCCATATTAGATCACCGTGATGCCAGTCTTCATCTGCCTGAACAAGCTCTGCTTTAGGCTTGTTTAACCTCTCTAGGATGTGTGCTGTAGGGCTTGGCTGTCTTTGTAGCCTCTCTTCATTAAAAAACTACACTAAGCTTGTATGAATTTTCCTTCTCCATTAAAATAGCATTGGAAAAAGGCCAACCTATGGTGGTCCCTTCTAGCCACAGCCATTTTGTGATGTTGTGATATTCCCTTAATGGAGTTGTCCTGTGAAGAGCTAATTTTGCAATAGCTTCACTCACAGCTCTCTTGGGGTAGACAAGTGTTTATGTATGACTGTCTTTAGCCGCAGTGTGCATATTGCTTCCTCTTTGTCCTGAGTTCTGCTCAGCAAAAGAGCTGGGAATTACTGCCTGGCTCTTCATTATTGCCTTTTCTTCTTTTTATTTCATTACCAGCTTCAGAGTGAGGTAGAGAAGCCACTGCTCAACTTCAGAGAGAATTTTAAGAAAGACATGAAGAAGTGTGACCACCACATTGCAGACTTACGGAAGCAGCTGGCCAGCCGCTACGCAGCAGTTGAAAAGGTGGGAGCAGAGAACAAACTAGGGAATTTGAGATACTGCTGGTTTGGACAGAAAAGCAGGTGCCCCATGAGAAGTTTCTGTTCTGCCATGAAGAACCACAAAGGTTTTGATTTTGCTGGGCCCCAGACGTCATTTACTGCTTAGCTGGGAAACTGGGGGCTACAGGCAGGGCTAACACATTACTGCTGAGCTGTCTTTTTTGTTTCATCCTTCTCTTCCCAATTTGAGACAATATATTTCTAATGCATTTGATGAAAATGCTTCTTGTTCATGTGCATCCAGAAGTCACATCTGTTACCCTCAAAATTTAAAAAGATGTTGTCTTAGAATAGCAGCAGGATCAGACCAAAGGTGTGTATGGCTCAGTATTATCCAGCAGTGGTGAGAAGCAGATGACTAAGGGAGGCAGGTCAAACCTGTCACAAAGCCTCTCCCAGTTCCTGTTTTCTGTACCTCACAGCAAACAACCTCACCTGAAAAACTCAAACAGCAGCAGCACCCCTCAGATCAGGGGCTATTTTAACATGAACATCCAGCTGAGGTTGAGATTTATACCCACAGGTATAAATCCACAGGTATAAAACTCATAAACCTAGGGGAGTTATACCCTCAAAAAGTGCTGTTAACAGCAGCTGTCAGGAAATGGAATATCCATGCTTCAGCTGCCAAGACACTTGTGCCAAATGGATGGGTCTAAGTTGGAAAAGAAAATACTATGTTCGGTCAAGCCAGAAGGTTGTTAGGGCTTTCATTAAGAATCAGAGTGCACCTGAACAATTTTGCCAGGGGACAGCATTGTTGCAGGATACACACTGTATGTATGCAGGGAAAGCATTTTTCTGCAAAACACTAAGTTCTTCACAGCCATATCTGCAAAGAAACACAGTTCTCAGTAGGGGTATTAAAAAGAATGAATTAGAATAGCCTTGAGAAGAAAGAATAAAAAAAGATAAAAGCCATATGATCAGAGGGCTGGAGCAGCTCTGCTCTGGGGACAGGCTGAGAGAGCTGGGCTTGTTCAGCCTGGAGAAGAGAACGCTCCTTAACGGGAGACCGTAGAGCAACTCTCAGTGCCTAAGGGGGCCACTGGAAACCTGGAGAGGGGCTTTGGACAAGGGCCTGGTACAAATGGGAAAAGTGGGAATGGCTTTAATCTGCCAGAGGGGAAATTGAGATGAGATGTTACGCAGAAGTTTGACCTCAGAGCAGCTTCCAGTGTCTGAAGGGGGCCTACAAGGGTGCTGGAGAGGGACTCTTCATCAGGGGCTGTAGCAATAGGACAAGGGGTGATGGGTTCAAACTGAAACAGAGGAAGTTCAGATTAGATATAAGGAAGAAGTTCTTCCCTGTGAGGGTGCTGACGCGCTGGCACAGGGTGCCCAGAGAAGCTGTGGCTGTCCCATCCCTGGCAGTGTTCAAGACCAGGTTGGCCGGGGCCTGGAGCAACCTGGTCTAGTGGAAGGTGTCCCTACCTGTGGCAGGGGGTTGGAACTGAGTGAGCCTTAAGGTCCTTTTCAACCCAAACTATTCTAGGATTCTCTGCAGTGTGCCTCACCACAGCTTCTCACCAGATTGCTTTCCTGCAGCTCCCTCTTGCGACCTGCCGAGCCAAGCACAGAGTCTTTAAAACTGCAAAGGTTCAAGTAATGCCTCAAGAGCGCAACTTGCAGGCTCGTGTGAAAACTGCAAGGTGCGAAAAAAATAAAATCATCCAAATTCATTTTAAACACTACAACTGGATAAAGAACAAATGTGGCCTCTTTTGTAACAAGCCTGTGCAAAAGAAACTATTTTATGCACATGTGTCACCCCAGCAAGCAGCCAGCATGCAGATGTGGAAATGATGTTTATTTGTTAAGACACTTCAGTAATTTGGCTGTGTAAATTCAGTAATGATACTGATAAATCAGGTTTTAAATTCCTGAAGAACTTTAAAGTAATCTAAATAATCAGTTTTAACCAGGTCTTAGGTTCACGATTTCTGCAGTACTAACTGCTGGTGTAATGAACCTGAAGTAGCTTCTCTGAAATAAACCTCAAAGTTCGTATCGTTACAGTTTCTAATAAATGTACATTGAATACACAAGGTACTTAAAAGTTAATTTTGTGAGATGCTTGAATTTCTGTCAACAATTTAGATCTTAAGAACAAATGTGAGATGTTGGTGATGCTGGTTAAGACATTGAGAAGAAGCTCCAGTTCCACTTCCTTTCAGAAATAGTTACTAAGATAAAAAAGTTACTAAGAAACATGAAAGTCTGGTGATGCCTTTTGTACTCTGCCTTTCTAAGAACCTGTGAAGAGTTCAGATGCTCTTGTGATTTGTTAGTAATGACTTCTATATGGTGGTAGGACACATCTTTGATCACTGTGATGTCCTGTCCTAAGAGCTTGAATCCCAATTAGGACCCAGTTTGATGCAGAGTTCCTGGCGTCTTAGTGGTAGGTATTTGTGTGAAGGAGTCATAGATGGCTGAAAGAAGCTGGCGGTTCTTTTGCTCTAAAACACGTGGGTCTTCTTTGATTATTCCAAGGCCCGGAAAGCCTTGACAGAGAGACAGAAGGATCTGGAAATGAAAACACAGCAGCTAGAGGTGAAGCTCAGCAACAAGACAGAAGAGGAAATTAAGAAGGCGAGGCGGAAGTCCACTCAGGCAGGTGAGTACCTGTGTCTATCAGTGGTGGGAGGTGAACACAGCCCTGTGGAAGACAGGAACAAGATGGGATGCAACTGCCCATCCACCCATGTGTTTCTCAGGTTTTAATGTAGTAGCTACAAAGTCCAAGTGAATCATGCTATGATTTCAGTGTTAAATCCTCTGAAGAAATGAACCTAGTTTTCCAAGTGAGACATCACAAAATGATGATTTTGGTAATTGGGGTGAGAACAGTAAAAGGAGGTTGAATTGTCCTTTTGTTTTGAAAGTGTGCTGGGATAACTGAATGCTTGTGAAACTTTCACAGTCAGGTTCAAAGCAGCTCAGCTGAGAATGTTTTTTCCTTACATAGTAGTTCCTTCCTTGGTTCTTTCCTAAATCCCGGTTACCCACAGCTCTGTTGGTGCCTGTTATGCTTCCTGTTATTGTCTTTTTCTTTTTCTTTGAAAGTGAACTTTTTGTCTTTTTTCCACTGCTGTTCAATGATTAAAATGATTTCTGTTCTACTTGATGTGACCTATGCATGTTTTATGGAGACTCAAACCAATTCTACAGGATCCATCAGGAGTTGTCTTCCTTGAGATCTGTGAAACTAATGAATGCTGAAAATCTACTTTAACTAGGGCTTTCATGTTTCATCCCTTCATAGGTCTATTCCTTAGCAGAATGGTCATTCATAGCTGTGAGGCTTTTAAATCTTCAGAATGGGTCTGGGTTTTGAGGAGACTAGGAAGAGTCATTTACAGTGTGACCATGTGTATAGACAACCATTTGAAGAGAAACAAAAGTTACATGTTGAACAAGTAAGGGAGAGCTGAAGATCACATGAGAGTAACCCAGAGTTTGGCGTGAGCCTCCCCATCACTCTCCCCCACTTTCTGCCACTGTTATGGTGCATGGCAGGGGAGGACTTGTCCCATCCCAGCAGCCAAGCCAGGGTGCTTGTGATGTGCACAGGAGCAGTATGTAGTGATCTGGCTTTGACATGAGGCCTGCTGCAAGTGCATGATAGGACCAGAGAGCTCTAGACCAGAGCCCTTCTACAATCCCACCAGTTATTGATATGTTGCTTTCTGCTCTCATGCCTTTCTACTGCTACTGTTCATGTTTTTAATGACTTCATGTTCCTGAATGTACAGTGGCTCAGATTCACACAAGTGGGTGGAGGATAACCCCAAGTCAGATAGCTCCTGAGGAGCCTCCTGGACTTGTCATGTCAAACTAAGCATCTCCTGCCTGGGTGCATAAGCTTTTAGCTGAGGTTTGTAGAGTTTGGTTGCCACCCCAACTTCTAAGGCCACGAGAGACTTCCAGATGCATTTACTTCTTCGACACTTGTTTGGTCTATGGAGTCCTGTTCTTAAAGCTTGGTTTGTCCCTGGTTTGAGTGTAAAGACCTTGTACACCTAAAAGAGCAGGATGAATTTGAGCCCTGGACCTAGGCATGGAACCATTAGGAAAAGCGTAACTGAGCCTTATTTAAAGAAGAAAGAGAATTTACTATCCAGAAAGCAATAACCTCAAAGCCGTGCCTTCCAGATTGTCTGACTCTGTCAGAGCAGAGTCCTACAACAAATTAAAAACATGAAATCATTGCAGCTTACTGTGTTCCTGCCGTGAGCACGGGAGGGAGCCAGAGCATCTCCAGAGGCTGGAGGCTGCAGTTCGGCTGAGGTTGCAAATCAGCATCAACTTGATCTCAGACAGCTTGAGCATGATGCTTTGCTCCTATTTTAAATAGACATGTCTTAGAATGCAGGCTCACTTACTGAGTGCTATCCTCATTATTATTGACTCCTCATGTTAATGATTTTTCAGATACAACTTTCTATAACTCTTTTTAATTGAAGTTACACGTTTTTACCATTCTGGGCATTTTGTAAACTATTACTTAATGTTCATATTTTTCTTTTAAAATCTTATCTTTCCCCCTCATTCTTTCACACCCCAATCACCTAACAGTGCCTTGTGGTGAAATTTTGTTGCACATAAAAAAGTAACAGAACTCCACTAGGACTGACCTTCCAGCCTTCTGGGTCTGTCTGCAAAGTCTGAGCTGTACTTAACCTTATAAGCTCCATAACACTGGCTACAGAAGACTAATGTGTTGCTATCTTGAACTTTCCAGGGGATGACTTGATGCGCTGCGTGGATCTTTACAATCAAGCCCAGTCCAAGTGGTTTGAGGAAATGGTGACCACCACTCTGGTATGTAACTTACATGTATAACATTGCAGAATTGTAATAGCCTGCAACATTCATCACAGTTACAGTGCAAAGCAGTGGAGAAACTTGGGTGATAAATCTCTCATTGTATTTCCTGTTCTCAGTTCTAAGAAAAACTGCTATCATTAGGGGAAGGAAGAAATAATTGTTTCTTTTCAGAAGGCATTAAACCAGTTCAGGGCTTCTTTGGAGCCAGAACACTGCAATTATCCCCAGGAAGGATGAAGTAATGCACAAGGAGGACATGGAAAAACGTGATAAATCACTGAATCCATTTAGACACAAATGAATTTTTGTATTCCATGATTTTGCAATTTCTTCTCTTGCCAGCTCAGCAGAGGCAAGCTTTAATTGCCTCTGTCTCTCTGAAGATAGCACAGCTCACAGTGTTCATCCTAAGGGCATATACCTTTGGGGTTAGTCACCAAGATAACAGCTTTGATGTGCTGTGTACCTTGAAATACCTGTATTTGGCTGTAGGGCTCCTCCCTCGTGTTATTCCTTACAGCCCTTCTAGATAAGAGCTGATTGCTTTCAAAAGCAGGAAATAAAAATACCTTCTGCGTGTATTTTTCTCATTGGCCAAACACAAAACTGTAAACTCCTAAAAAGAAGAGGATAAAAAATTGCCCTTTGAAGGCAGTTTTAAAAGATTTGAGCCATTGTTGTACCTGTGAATACAGAGCTTTCTAGTGGTACAGCAAAGTCCAACAAACTGTTTTTAAAGGCAGACTTCCATAGCATGCTGCTTCCACTGCTGCCACTCAGATGGACAAGGAGGGACTTAATGCAGATTTAGGGGTATAATATCAGAATCCAGGAGAAGAAGGAGGCAGAAAAAAGCTGGAGGAAAGTTATAAATCATCTGCCTTTCCAACTGAATCATTGCTTGGGTCTGCTTACTGCCAGCTGAGTGAGGTAGAGACTTGTGCCAGCTCATGTGGTGGAAAGAAAACAGCTTCTACAGGTGTCTGGTTAGACTGAGGGCAGTCAGGTTATACACCTCAACATCGTCTCCTGCTTCCCCAAGGAACCACTGCAACTTCTGGAGCTAGAAACAAGGTATGCAAGGCTTCCTGCAGGAAACAGATGCCTTCTTGCAGCATCCCTAAGGATAGTAGCTTGTCTCTCTCCCTTGGTTGTTTCAGTTTTGGAAAAGTTTAGACCTATATCTACTTTGTAGTTATTAGCAAACATCATATTACAAATGAAATTACTTTCCCCATCAAATGGAATAAATATTCCCATTGGACTCAAGAATTCAGAGAAACTCAGACAAAATGGCTCAAACAGGACAGTGCTCCTTGAAGGTCAGTGATGATTCCCCAACATTGGACTTTTAAGATTGAGCCTGACAGCGTGCTGGGGCATCTAGTCTAGGTCATGCTTTGCCTAGAAAGGTTAGCCCAGATGATCCTTGAGGTCCCTTCCAACGTGTTATTCTGTGGTTCTGTGGTTCTTTTCTGTTGTTGAGTTCAGGCTGAAGGGAATTCTGTTGCTTGCTGTCTCTGATTCTCTGCAAATCAGAGGGATGTGCAACCACAGACGTGAGCTCCAAAGCATGACCCTGGGGTAATATCGCACTGACTGGCAACCTTTTGTGTGTCATCCCTTCTCTGGGCCTTCAAGTTCAGCTTCCAACCAAAATATGGACTTGTTTTCCTTCGTGTCCAGGAGCTTGAGAGATTAGAAGTTGAAAGGGTGGAGATGATTCGTCAGCATCTTTGCCAGTATACACAGCTGCGGCATGAGACAGACATGTTCAACCAAAGTGTAAGTCTGCTTTTTGTTTGGTCCCTTTGGCCTTTATTGTACTTCAGCTGAGCAGAACAGTCCCTATCCTGATCTGACTGACCTATATCAAAAGGAGATGTGAAAAGTGTATGCAGTCAGCTTGTTAGTTTTTACTGCCATTTCTTCTCCAAGACTATGATCTTGATTACATTTCATACTGCTGGATCACAGCTTTTTGTTGGGGGAGACACACTGAATTGAATGACATTTGGGCGGCATGAGCTATTAGTAGTTCTTCCAGCAAGATGCACTATTACTGAGCTCATCTGTTCTTGCAAGGAAGATGGTAAATAGTTGGGAGAAGGAGTATATATTTTTTTTATTATTATTAAAAAACTGGCTAGTTTTCAAATATTAAAATATGGGGGCTGTATGCTGACCTCAGTACATGGTTGTATTTGGTGTAAGGTGCAGATTGCAGGACAGGAGGCAGAGACCAAGTGGCTAGTGCCTGGCATAGGAAGCCTGTCTCTGCTTGATGTTAAAAGTCAGCCTCTTCTCTGCTTCCTGCTGTGAGGCTTCACATTCAGATGTGGCTGTTGTCCACTAAGTCATGTGTCCCTGCAGTTCTCACTTGTCTGCAAATGCAATATAGGTGTGCCCATAGCTGCTCTATGCTTCAGAGCAATGACTGCCTCTGCTTGAAATGTACCCTTGACATTTTGATTCTTGTTTTGTTCATTTTAGACAGTAGAGCTCGTGGATCAGTTGCTTCGGAAAGTGGATCCTGCCAAAGACAGGGAACTGTGGGTAAAAGAACACAAAACTGGAGATATCCGACCTGTGGACATGGAAATATAGACTGATCTTTAGTTATTTGTCATGAGTCCACTGCATTAACCTGGCTAATGTTTGATTTTTAAGCGTCAGAAGAGCATAGGGAAAAGGTTGTTCCACTACCAGACACCTTGTAATTTATGCCTGTACAGGCCATCTCTGTTACATTTAGTCATTAAAATCATCCTTATTGTGCTAAGCCTTAAGCACCAGACATTCCAGGATGAAGAAACCAGATGTGTGCTTCCCACCAGAGGTTCCCAATTGCACGCAGCTTCCAGAAGAAATCTGCTTTCTGGTACAAGGAGAGCTCTGTTCTTCAGTGACTTTGTGCTACATCCCTTGCATGACTATCTTTATACAGTATGTTAGAACAACCATGCAGTGAGCCTCTGGCCAGCAAGTGGATAACTGAACATGATACAGGAGGCAAGGAAGTCCTGATCATGAATCCCAGGTCTGTCACTGACTGCTTTCATGGCTATAGGCAAGTCAATTAACTTTTCTGGTTCCCCCATCTATAAAACACATATCTTGCAACAATGCTGTGCAAATACATTTATTTCATATAATACAATTTCCCACCAAGGCCCTTCTCCCAGTATCTATAGAGAAGATTCCTGTTCTTCCTGTTTTACGCTCCCTCTCAGGGATACATAAACCCATTGTTATCATAATTTCTGTTCCTGGCCAATCAATAAGGTTGAAAGTATTACCATCACTGTTATTTATCAGGAAAGACTTGGTTGTGTGATACCTACCTCATTAGCTGTCTGAGTGCCCTCAGTGACAGAAAGAGGTTATATACCAAGGAATAAATGAGATATTCAAATCCTTTCCTGCTTATGCAAGATATTTTCTCACAGAATCTCCTTAAAGACAGTCCTCTAACATTTGATTTAGGATCCAGGTTTAAATTGCCCTTTGTTGGTTCCTTCAGGTGAATATCGCAGCCTTTAGGGTATCTTTAATTGCCAAGTTTGTCCAGCTAAATTGTGGGGTTTATCTTTTTAGAGCCTGATTTTCAAACGTGCCATGAATCTGTGATGCTAGATTGCATTAAATGGAGATGTAGGTGCCCAGCACTTCTTCACCAGCTGATTCTTAACCTTAGGCTTTTCCTGTGTTACCTTTACCATGAACTACCAAAAATGTAACACTGCTCTTGGCACATAATATTCTGTAGTTTGGAGACTGGTTTTGAAAAGGTTTTTGAAAATTCATTCTCTTCTCCTGCTGTCATTTCTGATTGACTATTCAGTGTTGCTGGTAATACAGTTTTCATCATTTCATACAATGCCAAGATTCTTGCTTTAGATCCAGAAGAAACCTTGATTTTTCACCACTGTGGCCTTTACTGTGTTGTTATCTGCAGTTTCCCAAACAGTACTTTTCCATTTGATCCGCTGCACCTTATTGTTTCCATCATTTTCTCCCCAGCAGCAAAATTGCATCCTTTTGTTCTACTACTGTTCTAGGTTTTTATTCACCAGCCTCTGAATCCTTTGATTAGATCATTGGGAATTAACATTCCCCTTTACAAATTCAAGCTGAGACACAGAGAAGTCTTGCATGAAACATATTTAATATTGCTGCAGTGATTATTTTCCTGGTTTGTTATTTCAGTCTGAATTCTGTTTCATTTTCCTACTGTTCCCTTTTTCTCAACCACCTCTTTACTAGCATAGATTCATTCTTGTCTTGAAAATGCTTCTACAACCCACATCTCTACTGCATCATTAGCCTTTATAAACCTTTGCACATTGGCAAGTGCAGTGCCATGACCACTGCATGCTCAGGATCACTGTTCCTGGTGTGACACCTCCAGATACGCTTCTAAATTTGTGACTACTGTTTTAATCTCAGTGTTGGAAGCATCCAGCACAGTTATGTGAGACTCTTCTAAGTTCCTTCCAAGACCATTGCAGTACAAATGAAACATGGTTTGTGTCACACAGTCCCTGAACTTAGTAGAGTACATACTCTTCCCCAGATTCCTCTGCTGCTGCTCAAGCAGGGATGTTTTGTGATTATCTGTCTTTTGCAGTCTTCCTGTTGATTGACTCTCTGTCTTACTCACTTTTTGTCATACCAGCGATACTTTTCCTATCTCTACCATGCACTTTGGAGGACAGGCACTTTTGTTTTTATTAAACCAGAGGAGCAGGGTGAGCTTTCAAAACTTCGATGGCCAAAAATAACTGGAGTACTTTAGAGCTGCATCTCAGGTGGACCCCTGTGTTTTAAGCTGTATTGTAAATCAAAATAAGAAATCTTGATGCCACTTCACCAGAATCTTGTTTTGATTGCAAAACCAAGCTAACTGTGCACTTTATACAGGATTCTCTTTAAACAATACCTGAAATAATCTATTATCAATTACACTTTATTTTTCCTCCTTAAAGATATTTGTTATTTTATCTGTTTTGGACTGGAAATACTGTCCATTAGCACAGATTTGTCTGAGGAACAAACTGTGTTTTGGTTCCTCTACTAAGTCATATTTAAGCTGCTCTCATTTCTCAGTTGTGTTTTCTGGTAGCTGTTTTTTTCCCTTTTGTTTTATTTCTCCTACTTCTTGGGTTTGGTCCATTTGAAATGTTGCAGGCATGCGTGAGCTGCCCAGAATGATCATTCTTTTGATGGAGATTGTCTCCCTTTTTTACTTTGATAACCTGAGGAGAACACTTGTGCCTGGCTGTTAATCTTTACCAGGCCCAGCAAACTCTCAGGCAGTGCTGCTCTGCAGTGGGTGAGATGCCTCCTCTAAAACAAGGCATTCATCTGTAACAGGTGGAAGTGTTAAGGAAGTTTTGCTGTTGCTTATAGACAGTTTGCAGCTTATTTCCTGAAAAAGTTGATATTCCCTTGTGATATGACACTGCAGACTGTAGGATCAGTGTTACCTGGCTCATTCACTTCTCTGGCTGATGGATCCTGGACAGTGGCATGCCTCAGAAGTCAGGGAATGCTGGAGCCCCTGTGCTTCTGAATGGACAGCATCCTCAGAGAAGGTGGTGGCATGTTTGAGGACATGGACACCTGCCCTCGTGTTCATTCTTTACAAGGTAACTTTGGGAGTCACAGCATTGCTCAATTCATCTTCCATTGATTTACAAAAGCACAGTCGATCATCCTAAACAGCTTCTTCTCTGGAGCAAGATCCAGCTTTGTGTTATGTTACCAAAGCTAGCATGTGGAAAGGATGATGATGTTGCAATGTAACTAATAAATAGGAATAGAAAAGTAAGCCACTTGCCTTCATAGGTACTGAGCTTAAGCATCACCCCATTTTGCCTGGCAGGTGGGCTCACACACTTGATGCAAGTTTTTACTATTTTAGTCACTACATGTGTGAGTTTTTCTGTTGAGTAACAAGGCTGGTTTACATCTTCAGATGGCCTGTGATCACAGAGCAGAAAAGATGAGCTTTTGATTAGTGTTGTTCCCTTTTACCCGAAGAGGTACAGTCAGTGGGAATTGCCCATGGTTCGTTGTTATCTGGGGACTCTACCTACCCAGGCCTTTGTGAAGCCACCTGCATACTGTGGCTCTTGCTCTTTGTCTAGCCAATGCTGTCACATACTTGTGCTGTCAAGCCTCTGGCTCCCTGGTGATCTTTATTTCCGCCAGAGCCTTTTGGCCCTTGTGTGAGCAAAAAAGCTTTGTAAATTCCTATGGCTTTGAATCCACTGGGTGTGCTGACTCTGGTGCCACAGCTGGTGAGGTGTTTACCAGCTGTACCTTCAGCTGCCATGCAGAATGTGAAATTTATTCGTCATCCACATCAGCTCACATGTGTCTTCAAAGACATCTTCTGGCACAGTTTACTCAACAGAGAGTCCTTGTTAGAACTTTTTCTCTAAGGTATTCTTTCGGCTTATTTTCTAACAGAACTCACAGATCTAGTGCTGTTGGCTGATTCCTGTTGGAGTTGCTGAGCTGAAAGCAAGGAGTCCTTTACCATGAGAGACAAATGCACTTTCCTCCCATCAGTGGCAAGATTCTAGTTGCTTTTATGGAGCAACATCAAAAAAGGCTTTCCAGCAGATTTTCAATCTGCTCCAGATTCACTCACATTTGTTCATTACTTCTATGTGCTGAACATCTTTTGAAAGACTTCAGTTGTTCCCTTATGGGAATATTTTATTATTTGACACTGGGATCTGTAGAGATAACTTCATTTTTTTTTCTTTCTTAAATGTCATAACAGCAGTGCAAGTCATAAGGAAATCCCTGTTATGTTTCTAGAATACTTTTCCCCTTCTTGCAGCCCTGCCTGAGCTGCTGTGGGGTAGCTGTGCTCCCCTGGGTGTTGCACAGTTACAATAAACGTTGAAATCGTGCTGCTTCTTGTGCGTAACAGGCAGCATGCAAACTTGTGCTCTGGTTCTCTTTAGCCTTTATGCATCTGTGCAGTTTGATGTTGAAGAATTAGGTGCTTTTTGTTTAACTGACAGCCTCAAGCTATAATAGTCTGCGTAGTTGCCTTTTGACAGTGAACTGCACTCAGATCACCCCTTTTTCCTTGAGAGGAATTTTCTGTAAAGCATTCACAGGGAACTTTTACATGCTCAGTAGCACTCAGAGTTTCTCAGAACCTCTTTAAATTTGTCCCTGTTTTAATGTCATTGTTGAAATATTTGCTGCAAGTTAGACTCTTCGTGTGTGCCAGAAATGTGCACTCTTCTTTCCACCTGCTCTTTGGAAGTGCTCAGCACTCCGAGATTTCTTGGAACACAGTAGGGATGTAGGTGATAAAAGTCTTTGAAAATCAGGCTAACAAGTAGCAATGCACAAGGCTTTTTTTGTTTGGGTTTTTTTTTCCCCCCTTAGTCATTGAGTACATGTATAAGGTAAACATTAAGAAATGAGAACCTCAGATACTTAATGTGTAAGACCTAGTTGCTATACATGCAGTTCCCAGGAGTTCCACGAGTGACCCTGTGTCAGGCTGTGGTAGGAGCACAGTTCTAGAGCATGGTCCTACAGCTTACCTTCTGATGCAGCTGTAAAAACCCAAACCAAAAATTAAGTTTAAAAGTAGCTTTGCTCATCTATTTCTTCAGTCACACATAGGGAGAAAAAGAACACTGCTCACCCAGGTGGGTCCTTCGCTATCAAGCACCTTAAGGAATCCAGACCAGCACTTTGAAGGTCCCGCTGGAATGAGTAACGTGACTTCTTGGTGCGATCAGTTAATTGTTTCCTTCTGAACTGCAAACATATTTGCTATTTCATAGTAGCTAGTGTGCTCTTTTGCACTACTGCAGCCTGCTGGGTCTGTTGCCACAGATGGCAGTCTGGTGTCCTGGAGGCAGTCCTGGTCACCTTTAAACTTTCCACTCTGTGAGAACTAGGGCTTCACCTTTCTGGAAAGTCCAGGCTTTTTGCTACCCAGCATGTGTTGAAATAGGAGAATGAGACCCCAGAGGTTGCTGAAGCATTGCTGTGGATGGTTCTTGCTGTGTAGGCATCCCTCCCATACTCATACAGTGGTAGGGAATGGCTGCTG